GATTAACTTCATTTGATAATCAGCCTTAAGGCAAATTCGCATTTCGTAAAGCGAAATTGCACCTCGAATGAATTCTACCTCACACTATCTTGCACATACTACCAAAGTTACTGTATGCATACCCTTCCCTCACAGGTATTGACGAAATGTCAGGGAATTGTGTCTGTCCAGATACGTGCATCTCACAACGTGCTAGCTCAACTGAAATTGGTCACCTGCAGCACATTAGCAAACACAACCCATATGTCAGACCAACGTGAGCACGCAAAATGCCTACTCTCAATTTCATCTCTGCTTCTTGCTGGTTGATGAGAGCGGACACTGTTGAAACAGATCATCAAGGCACTATTGCACTACCCACTCGCATTTGTGATCTCCGATCCCCCAGTACCCACTTCATTTTACTTATTATATACTCATAACCTTCCAGCAGCATCCGCAGGTTCCCTGCCCATGATTCCATATTTGCCGTTGGAACCATCTATATATTAACAACTCCACACAAACACGTTCATCATCCACAATTGATTCCTTCATTTAAGTGTATCCTAATGGTTTTCAGGATTGCCACGAACGCACCCATTAAAATGTAGACTAAAAAAATGTAGACTAATGTAGACTAATGCTGGTGTTTTCTACGTAGAAGGAACATTTATTACCGCCTCATTAACGGCATCGTCGTTCTACCACGCCTCAGTCCAGAATCTCTTGCAACAGCAGCATCAGTGTTCACGCTGATTTCACATAAAACTGTGGTAGGCTCCAATTGCTCTGTATTATGCCACAGGTTTGCATCAAGATTGTTTAAATTTTCGCCAGGATGTAATCATGGCAGATGTGTTCACATTCAGTTCAAATAATGAGATTCAAATCACTTATTAACTATTTGCATAAATGAATTTTTAAAGGTTGTGGAAATAATAAGGGAGATCTTCGATTCATCCACTGGCGTTGATGACATGTCAAAATATTATTTCATTGAAGACCTTTAATGAATAGTGTAACAGCGATTCGTTGGAGTCTCTGGACTAACTCTTTATTCTCATTCGATTTTTTCGATCCAGGTATAAAATGCTAAAGGTAAATTTCATGAGACGAAGCAAAACAGCCTCAGGCAAAGTATCAAAGTCCATCTAAGCGTATCCTCTAACGACACAGCAGGCGACTTGACGAAGCTGTCAGATCTACCGCAAAAATATTAAGCTTCCAAAATAGGCGAGGGAACTCAATGCCCAGTATAATAGTTGTAAAACTATAAATTTTGACATCGCAGAGTGGAAGTCGACGCTTTCAAATGAAAAAAACAATTAAGAGGGCCTATTTGGGCATGTTTCATTATCTACCCATCGCAATGCAGTCAAAATAAAAGACTGACCTAGCAAACAGGACGTGAATTCTTGTAAATCCCTATCAAAAATAGCCAAGGGCTACTTTTAAGTTGGCAGTTGTTAGTTTGCCAAAAAATCTATTCCATAACCACACCGAATGAGGTTAACTGATCAAAGTAAGCTCAATTTCTACTCAAAAACTAGAATACATAATCACTTTATCACAATTATTAATCAAAACATACACAATCTTGATGCAAAACGTGATTTGATAAAACCCTAGTTATCGTCATATTCTACTGCACATGACATATATGACGTGACAAAAAAGTAAATGTGATGAGAAGCGTCGAAAACGTTTCATAGCAGTGC